CTGGCTCCTGCCCTGGCTCCTGCTCTGGCTCCTGCTCTGGCTCCTGCTTTGGCTCCTGCTCTGGCTCCTGCCCTGGCTCCTGCCCTGGCTCCTGCTCTGGCTCCTGCTCTGGCTCCTGCTCTGGTTCCTGCTCTGGCTCCTGCCCTGGCTCCTGCTCTGGCTCCTGCTCTGGCTCCACCAGTGCTTGACCCTGGGGGATCTGAGATTGTCTACAGCAGCAAATGATCTCCCCTCTGCAAGTGTCACTGCCTGGGTCAATCGTTTTCATGCATTAATGTTTCTGTCTTGGTCTCTTCAGATTGAATTGTTTTCAGGAAAATCAACCAGAAAACATACAATGAAACTCATGAAGTAATGTCAAAATACCACCATAATGTAAACAAAAATGTTGAGAAAAGGCAAATATGTTATACTAGCGGTTATAAGACATATTTGATGCTGTTGGAATAAACACAAGGTGCATGAGGAGCACGCTGTAAAAAAAAAGTAGTGAGAGACCAGTGTATATGTAATCTCTTTTTGATTTGATTTGAATACTTTCAAATTAAAAATGATTTATATACAAACAAAAAAAATATGGTTCGATCACCAGATTTTTGAGTCCTTCACAGTTTATTCAGTGAAAAAGAGAATACACAAACAGAGAAAATGGCTGTATATTAAATTGAGTTGGAAGTTTCTTTCAATGATAGTTTTCCGAAGACAAACAACTCAATCTGTCCATTTATTTGAATCCAAATCTCTGCTAAACCCGCGTCTCATCTGTGGTGTTTTGTCTCGGCAGTCTGTCTTTCCCAATCCTCGTTTTCCCAGTGAACTTCCAGACAGAATATGTGCTCTCCGTGTCGAGCGTGTTACAACTCATAATTAGTCAGCAGAGGACAAATCTACAGAGTCTCTCAGCTTCCCAGACTTTGAAAGAGTTTAGTTCACGCTTCAGAGAGTTCACTACAGATTCAGTCGGAGCTGGAGGTGATTTTACTTTGAGTCGTTCGGGGAAAAACACACACATTTCCACAGAAGGTCAAAAGCTCTCGCAAAAGTTGTACCTAATTTGCTGTGATATTATCATTGAAGCGAGCCAGGGTCGGCTGCAGAGAAAGGTCACGCTGCTAAGGACTAAAACTTTAAACAACTTTCACTACATCTTGAAATACTGTATGTCATGTTTGAATATTTCATTATGCTAAAGCAATATTTATCCTGGTTTTCCTTTTACCTGCACCAAAGAGCGATTTATAACCTATCACCGTAACTCAAGCCGACACCTTGTTATGTGACTTTTACGATGACGTCCAACTTTAAATATGGCAAATTTCTTCGGCATGGCAAGGCAAGTTTATTTTGTATAGCACAGTTCACACACAAGGCAACTCAAAGAAACATGCTTTTTGTGGTTCTTTTGAAAGTTAGTTGCATTACCTCGTTAGCATGTTATGTTTCGGCTACAGAGCTGAGAGCCATCTTCAGAACCGGCACCTGCCTTGGTGACGCGTCATCGAGCCCCAGCAATCCAAGATGGCGCCGTTGTCAAATTAATAGTTTGTGCTCAGTGGCGCCGAAAAATTAGCGGAACTTGCCCAGAACTCGCAAAGATCCATGGGGAACTCGCAAAGATCCAAGGGGAACTCGCAAAGATCCAAGGGGAACTCGCAAAGATCCAAGGGGAACTAGCAAAGATCCAAGGGGAACTCGCAAAGATCCAAGGGGAACTCGCAAAGATCCAAGGGGAACTCGCAAAGATCCAAGGGGAACTCGCAAAGATCCAAGGGGAACTAGCAAAGATTCAATGGGAACTCGCCTGTATTTGGGCATTGTCTGGTCCTCCCGGTTCTGCGCAGTGGACGAGCTCCCATAATGCGTTGCGCAAAATACGCGTGTGTGGTTCTCAAGCACGTGCACAGAGGGGCTCGGCTGCGCTCTGACCAATCAGAGCTGTTCATCAGAGCGGGAGTTAGAGCGGGAGCCAGACGGGCTAGGTTTGTGGCACTAAAGTGTGGATTCAAGGAAAACCAAAGGATTTAAGAAGAAAAAAAGTTCAGGATGACAAGGGACACTAAAATCCCCACAAAATCCGATCTTTATGAAAGTTGTAGGTTCTCTGTCAGCTGAGGTCGCGCTGTTTTAGTTTACATTGAGTTCTATGGGGAACATTTCTGGGTAGCCCACGTGAATTTAGTCTGGTTTAGTCTGCAGTACCGCTCCTATCTCTGTGTGGAGTGGGAGACAAATGCCCCGAAAAAACCCAATTGTAAACCGCTTTGTGACTCTGGTCTGTGAAAGGCGATATACAAATAAAGATAACTTACTTACTTACTTACCACGAGAATCCCCAGAGCACGTGGGTCCTTCTCCAAGCTAGTAACACCCTATCCACTTATTATAATAGATCCATGCGTGTCATTTATCGGTTGATGCTACTTCCTGAGTGGGCGTGGTCAGCCTGCTTGACGTGACGGGTCGCTCAGACTGACCACGCCCCCTCTCGCTCAGTGGTGAGAGAGAGATGGTTAATATTTAGAAGCGATTATGTTCTCCATTATACACATGGACCATCAAAATAATAGTAATAATAATAATATTATTATTATAGATAACTATATACATTTTATAAAGTTATGGAAGTGATAATAACCCTGCTCAGTTAAGGTTTTTATTTTTGCTTTATTTTTTGTTCAATTCAATCCAAATCAATTAATTTGTTGTTTCCAAGGATTCACCAACAGCAGATCAGTTTGAAAACAGAAATGCAATAAAAACAAACACATAAGAGCCATTGGTCCACAGGGAGCGGGACGACCACTGTCTATAAATGTCCTTAAATGTCCTTAAATGTCCTTAAATGTCCTTAAATGTCCTTAAATGTCCTAGATCATCACAGACCTTAGAACTAGACCTAGACCTTCGACTCAAAAAACCAAGTGGGAAAAAACTGCTTCACAACAAGAAGCTCCTGGTTTTGTTTCCACCGGGACATTTCTGTGCAGCGTTTGCATGTTCTTCCCATGTCTGCGGAACTTTCTCCAACCATTAAAAACATGTGAAATTTGAAGAGTGTGTATTTTTTTGAGTGCGGCTTTATTCATCACACACCGTTCCATCCAAATACTGTAAACAAATAAAAATATCTATGGACTTTGTGAGGTTGAAGCTGAGAGAAGACGAGTTCTTGAAGAAAGCCACGATTTGTCTTTGGAATTTAAAAACTATTTATAGCAGTATTAGCAGCAAAGAAGCCCCCGCACTTATCAGTCCCACTGGGGTTTCAGAGCGATCCTATATACTGTACCTGGTTCAAAAAGTTGCATAAAAGTTATTCTTAATTAGAGAGAGTTGGATTTAAGCGTATTTATGAAGCACTTTTTGCAGACCAGCCTCGTGTTGCACCATTTTCAAAGCCGCTGAAGAAGACGAGAGGAAACCAGACCGGACATTTCTAAGCAGTGCAAAAAAAAAAAACTGCGATATGCAAAAGTGGTGACCAGGACTGAGATAGCAATATATTTTCCACTTTATTTATCTTCCGCAAAGATTATTTTTTTCTAAATTGAATGCATCTAAGTTTAAACACGTTGTTAATAGCGTACCGCACGATATACGTCACCTCTTCTCATTAATATTCATTAAGCTAGCGACGGTTGCTAGGGGGGTCAAACTCGCGCGTGTCACTCATGCTAGACGCATGTAAACAGTTTACGGACGAGATGTCTACTGAGCTAAACCTGCTAACTCTGTCCGAGAATGATGTCCCCGGTGCCAAATTCACTGGTATAGAAGTAGAAGAACATACAAATATTCAATTGAAGAGATGGCTTGAGTGTAGAGGGCTGAAAAAGACGGGAAAAAAGAGCCGACCTGATCCAGAGGTAGATTGTTATCGACATAATTTCTCCCCCAAAAAAACATCGCCTTACGCCACTGACAGTGACTTTTTGCAGTTTCAACAAGCTATCTTTTACCACCCTATGTCCTGTCTGTCATATATACTATGTCCTCTGGTTGTCTTACGTCTGACAGTTGTTGTGGGTAATTTATATTATTATTATTCATGTATTTATTTTTTGTTTAGCGATCGCTAATGCTACTTGGTCACAACCAACAACACTTAATTTTTAATTAATATCAAATCTAAATTCTCTCAATTTTACCCTCCCCCCAAGGCTGTTTCCTTACTACAGAAAAAGTAAATCTGTCAGATCTAGGGCCTACCTGTAGCATGAACAGGCTTGCTAGAAAAAGGCAGAACATGTCTTACATATTTAAATAAGAGTATTTTAAGAAAGTAGGCCTCATATGACTTTTATGATAAATACATGTCATTCAAGGCAGTAGTAGCACCTACAATTTTATAAATATATTATATATATATAATATATATATATATATATATATATATATATATATGAGATAGAGAGAGAGAGAGATTCATTCAAAATAATGTCTAGGGCGTAGTACAGGACTAGTGTCTGTAGGCCTACATAAGTCTCTTAATTGAACTTGTGTCATTTTATGTATTTTTCAGATGTAAAGATTGCATTGCATCAGGGAAAGCAGGAGACATTGACGTATCAGTTGACAAAGGGAAATGGTATCAGAAATTAGCAGATACCCATACTGAGAGTCCACAAACTGCTCTCGAATCTAATGATTGGAAGGAGTTCCTACCATCAAACATCCCACCACTGTACAACTAGGGCTACGTGTATCACTGGCTGGTGGAATCTCTGCCCACTCTTCCCACAAGGCCTTCTCAGACAGAAGACAGTGATGAGGAGGATGACATAACTTCAGTTGTCACTGAAAAATCTCTGCGCCGTGGCTGGCAGTATGTTGACTCAAACTTTGTTCAGGATATCAAAGTAAGGCAGACTCATAATTCTATAGTATACAAAGCAAAAGTTGATGCATCTATGAAAAATGAACACCATGATGTATCAGTTGAGATGTCGTCAGTGAGTGGTGCAGTTTTAAGTGCAACGTGTAAATGTAAAGCATCAGCCCTAGGGCGGTGTAGTCACGTGGCTGCCCTTCTGCTTTTCCTGACAAAAGTTGTTGACACTGATGTTGGGAGAACACCGGCTTGTGCAGACCTACCATGTGAGTGGAAACGGGGTCGGAAACGAAAAAATCCTGGTAGCATCAATGCAAAATCGTATGGTAAACTCCCTCCAACTAAAGTAAAATCTTTCGATCCGCGTCCAGATGGCAGTCATGTCAAAAATGAGGATGTCAATGCCTTCTTGACGGAGTTACAGGGAGCAAACAGTGGAAGTGGTGTTATTAGTATGTGGGAAACAGTCCTTGTATACCATTATGAGGACTATGATTTGCCAGAGAGCCACAGGGATGTCATCACCAGCTTACGTAGTGTGTATGAAGCCAACTTACTACCTAAGTGCAGTGTGCAATGCATCAGTTCGATGATTCCAGGGACAGTTGAGCAGTCATCCTCAGATGTTTGGTATTCAGAAAGATACCTCAGAATGACAGCTTCCACGTGTAAAGAGGCTCACAAGATTTGGGAGGTCATAGCAAACTGTGAACAAAAAATGAGTGCTGCGGTGAAGTTGAGACTGCTACACTACATCCGGAAAAATGTGTGGGGCCTCGACAGAATCACCACAAAACATATGAATGAAGGAATCAAAAACGAGGACAGAGCAAGGGACAGTTATGTGCTGTTTAAAAAAAAGACTGTTCCTGACTTCTCTTGTGAGAAGACCGGACTGTTTGTTTCTCACAGGCTTCCACAACTGGCTTGTAGCCCTGATGGCTTATCATATGATCCCTCCACAAATAGTTTTGGTCTTGCTGAAATCAAAATTTTAGGGCTTCTTCAGAAGAAATCTCCTCAGGAATGTGTTGATCAGTACAACTCTGGAGAAATGACCAGCAAGGACATCCAAGCCACCTGTTTCACGATTAGTGACAATAAACTTGTTTTGCGTCGTTCTCATCCCTATTATTACCAAGTTCAGTATCAGCTTGGTGTCACAGGCCTTGAGTGGTGTGACTTTGTCCTGTGGTCAGTGAAAGGAGATCCTTCCATTGAGAGAATCTACTCCGATTCAAATTTCATTGCTGACATTATTAACTCAAACTATAAGTTGTGGAGCTGTGTTGTCATGCCAGAGTTGGTTGAAATGAGGGCCCCTCGTAATCTAATACCATTCATTCTTCCCAAATAAAATATCAACACAGTATTGACATTGAATGTAGTTTTCTTTTGACAAGTTTACTGTAATAGACCTTTCACCAAACATTTTTTACAGCAGAAGTGCCTGCTCAGCATTTACCTCTTATTGTTAAAACTTTAACTTTGATTATATTTACTTAAGACAATGGCGACATTTTGATGCTATACAAATGTTTGCTTCAGAAATTATCAGTTATTTATGGGTACAGTATTTCATTGTTATTCATGATGATTTTAAACTATTAACTTTTGAATTAAAATGTTTAAAAGATCATTTCATGTGTATGCATTTCATTAGTTTTATGTAAAATACATTTTGATCAAAAATTCCCAAGATATCAATTCTATGTTAATCTACTCATAACCTCAAAACTTAGAATATTTTCTATTATCTTTCTTTATTGCTTTCACTGTACATACAATGAAGGCAATAGTGCACAACTGTTCTCTTTGCAATGAACCTTCATTCTCTCTGTGGATATAGGTTATAAATTACCCCTATATGTAAACAAAAATGAAATAATAAATCCAAGTAAATGTTTATAGAAAATAACTTTTTACATTTTCAAAGTTCAAGTGTATATTTCAGAATGAAATTGAATGGGGTCACTTGTTGGAAATATGATTGCCTTTAAGCATCAAAGTAATATTGAGATGACCCCTCTAAATATTGATAGATTTTGGATTAAATGTGCAGAATTAGTAGAACATTTTACAACTTCAATAAAGCTTTAACATGTCTTCTTTTATTTACTTTGCCAACTGATCTTGAAAGTTAACAAGACAACAAGCAACAAAGACAGCCTGACTTGCTAGTGGAGTTAGAGACAAGGGAAATCGTGCCAGAGATCAGTTTAAATTTCTTAATACGTTCGTTATATCGCTCTACATGGATACGTGCCTTTGCTATTTTTCTTGTCAGAAGCTCTTCTTGGGGTGTGAGCTTATCCCGACCTTTCAAAAATGGAGGAATGTTCATCTTGACCCGTCTTGACATGAGTAAGTCTTTCACAGTAAAGCCTCTGTCAACTAATAAAAGATCACCGGGATGTAAATGCTCCAATATGCCACTTTGTTCAAATATGTCTCTGTCACTTATAGCACCCTCGTAAAGATCTGAGACGAACACACCAGTGCCATTAGGCGCAACAGCTATCAAACACTTAAATGTGTGATGGTGCTTATAATTCGAGAATAAGTTTCCTTGCTGAGAAAAGTTACGAGGCATTTGTACGAAGAATTCTGTACAGTCCACAGAGCACCGAATATTTTTGAACCCTTTGAATGATTTAGGCATAAATTTCTTGAGGACAGATCTATCTGGGAACAGTTTTACCTCTTTAAAGTGGCAGTACAATAATTGGAGCCATGTAGTAAATATTGACCTTAGTGAGGACTCCGATAATTTGAATAAGAATGACATTGTATAAAAGCAATAGCCACGACGTAGTCTAACAACAGTCATAAATAGTTCCTCGATTGGTTTTGTCTTTCTCCTCTTCTTAGTTGAACTCTGCTCACTTTTCCCAGTACTGTTCCAGTAAGTAAGGTTATTTACCGCGGGGCCGAGGAAGTTGAATAAGGCCATGAAGTGTAAAAACGAAAGTCCAGTAAAGAACTTCATTTTTCTGGCATCATCTTTAACATCATCTAAAGTCAGGAGGGCCTCATATTCAGGTTTCTGATCACTCGGAGGCACATCAAGAGAAGAAGGCCTGGATTTCGATACAGTTGCTTCATTCTTCAGTATGATGTTTTCAATCTTGGACTGCAACATGTATCGGTCATATACAGTCTGACAGCCAACATCCACCATCAACTTTGAACATTTGGAGCAGGGTTCCAGAGCTTCTGTTTGAATCCCTACAGAGTTAGCCTGACCGAAAAAACAAAAGATACATGTACATTAATACTGGTACAGATTTATAGGGCTACAAATATACCTGATAAATTAGAATTTAAGTGGACTAGATCAGGAATTAGCTTAAAATGTTTTGTGTATAAAAATCATTTTTTGTTTTCTGGATGGCCCTCAAATTTGTGATAATTGAAATTTTCAAAGATGGTTTGGCTCCACCTTTTTCTGATGTTATTAAAAATGAAGCTGTTTCAAGAGGCCACTTTCTTAATACCCACAATGTGTTGTTTGATAGAGCACATACTCAAAGATCTAAATAGTTTAATATCACTTATTGAAGTATATGACAATCAGATTTACACTACATCAAAACATATCTTTGTACACTTACTTTATTTTCTTCTGTGTCAGTAACATCTAGAGGTGAGATCATACTGAGATCCAACAAGATGTTTGCTGCGTCGAGATCAGTATTTGCGGAGTCCACCACTTTTCTTCTTTTTGTCGCTGGAGTGCTTGCGAATGGCCTAGGTGTTGGTGCTTTTCTCCTCCGCCTGATAATACGTTCAATCTGCAACAATAAACCAAAATTCTTTACAAATATCCTCAAAAACTCTGCTTATCCTTTCTAATAATAACTTCTCATACATCTCACAGGTGAGGCCTTAGTTCAGGCCCATCTCAACTCTTAACAAGATAGAATAAATAAAGCATCTGTTTTATATAACACTTTTCTGGACACTCAAAGACGCTTTACATTGCACTATTCATTCATTCCACACTGGGTGGTGGTAAGCTACTACTGTAGCCACAGCTGCCCTGAGGTAGACTGACAGAAGCATACAGACAGAAAATATAAGGTTGTTCATCAATATCACGATTGATGTGTGAAGCAACAAAAACAGGCGGTTGACAACACAGGTTAGAACAACAGTGGCAGAGAGACCATTTTTTTTTAAAAATTCACGTGATTCATTTTTGTCAGACAGTAGCAGCAGTACGGCCAAACGCAAAAGCAAAAAAGAAAGGAAATTATAGAAATGGCTTACCTCTTCGGGGCAGGCTGTGGCCGGCAATGGATCAGGATTGTCATCTGTAGGACCATGGCCCCCAACAAAATGTTTACTACATATGAAGGTGAATGGTTTCACGTTGCTGGCATTGAACTGGTCTTTTGGACGTCCGCACAAGTTGACCCATCGTTCACATTTATCCCTCTGGGTTTTTGGCTTCGGGAAACGAATAAAGAATACATCCTTCATATGTGGACGGTCATAGTGTCTGGAGTCGTTTCTGCAAGTTCCATAGCAGCAGTGTTTACTCGGCATGTTCTTATTTGAGGGATAACCGGCAGAAAACAAGCAGTAATAGCATGAATCGTAAGCGAGCGCGCTTCTATGTTGACCCTCTTCCGGTTTACGTTGCTGACGTCACGCGGCCTTGCAGTCTAAAAATAGCACTCGTGCGGCACGCTATTCAGTCTCAGCCTATAAATAAGCACATTAATACGTTCTTGTGTGCTATAAAAATATATTCACTGCAAAAAGTTATGAAAAATGCGTAAACAATTGCTCAAACTTGGCAAAATGTCTTTTAATTTGATTACATTTTGACTGCCTTAAAACAAGATTTGCCAAATGGGACAAAGCAAAATAATCTTGTTTAAAGAAAAAAAGAAACAAGAAAAATGTCCCTTGGAATGAGGAAATAAAGCAACAGTTCTATCCATCCATCCATTTTCTTCCCCTTAATCCATTTCTGGGTCGGGGGTGGCAGTCAGAGCTGCACCCAGTCCACAGAGCACCAGCCCCTCACTGATCCTCCTGCAGGTGGTGAGTCCACAGGAGCTGAGATCTTTCAGTGGGGGCTTCAGGCAAAGTGGGGTTAAGTGTCTTGCCAAGGACACAACGACAGCAGTCATCAGTGGGAGTCGTGAAGTAGGTCTTACGGTGGGCTTGAACCCACGACCTTCAGGCCCAAAGGCCAATGCTCTACCAACTGAGCTACTGTCGCCCCGCAACAGTTCTAATTAAGATAAAAACCTCTCGATTCAAGCATTTATCATTATTATCTGTGTTCATTTCATTGTGGTCAATTAAAAACACAATTTTGGAAACATCACCAGAGTGAGACCTCTTTACCTTTGTTCAGTACAGAGTAAGCACTTCTGTGTTTTCCATAAACAATCTCTGCCTTTGTTTTTCCCCTGTGTCTGCTTCTGTTAAGTTGTTTCTCCAAATGACAGCCCCACGTCCCGGAACTGCAGTGTTTTTAGGAACAAGATTTTCACTTTCTTTGTGATATACGGTGATTTTTTATGACTTTAATGCCTTGTGTGATTGTTTCTATCTGGTTTTGTTCGGCACTTTGAGTTTCCTTGTGTATGACCTGTCCTATACAAATAAACTTGCCATTCCTTTCCTTGCGATAACCACTGCGCCGCCATGCCGCTTTTGCTGATTGATTGATCGACTTGCTATCATTGCTACTGATAAGATATGTTTAATTGAGTGGTTTTTTTAATCATAATTTAAGCACATTCTGACTGTGTTAAAACCAGATTCTTCAACGGGACAAAGTCATTTAGGGTTATTTCAAGAACTGTTGCTTTATTTTCTAATTCCAAGAGAGACATTACTTGTATCTTTTTAAAACAAGATCATTTTGCTTTGACCCATTAGAAAATCATGCGTTAGGGTACTTCTCTGTCTGGTGCACACTGGGGTAGTCTTGCACAGTTTTTCCAATGTGGTTTTACTGCGAATGGCGAATACATTCTTGATGTTCTTGAAATGTGCTCAAATTTAAATACTTTTTCCCATATTTGAGCAATTTTTGCAGTTTACGACAATATTTTACCATATACAGTATTACGCAGCCCTATACTTCAAACTTTAAACACATTGAACGCACAAGGTTGAATCCCAGTTGCCAATTACCACAATTTCTCTTCTTTTTGCATATGCATTATTATAATTAGTCCCGTGAAATCCTGGAGAGACTGACTCATGGTTCGGTGCTTCCTGGTGGAGCAGACAGGACCAGCTCAGTCAGAGACGGTGTATTGACGCACTGTGATCACTCCTTAATAACACCAATGTCCGCCTTTTTCATTAACCCAGCCGCATGTCTAATTTCCCCTCCCGTCCAAGCTAACATTACTGAATTAAAAGTTGCGCTGACACGTCTCGGCCACCACACACACACACACACACACACACACACACACACACACACCACATACACACACACAACTTCAATAAAACGTCTAAACCACAGGGCTGACCCAAGACATGCTAATTCATCTCATGAAAGCTTTTGACTGAGTAAGGAGGGATAACTGTTTTCCCTTCACGGTGGGTTGTGTGAAGAGTGAGTCAGCCATGTTTATTTTTTCCCTCTTCTGCAGTCATTAATCTGATCTCCTCTGTTTTCACACCCGCCGTTAACTTAAGGGTTGATATTTCTTTAGTCACTAAAACACACAGGGATGTCCAAAGCAAAAAAGTACTGTATAAACACACAGATGATTCTAAAATGATTTATTTATGGATTAGTTGCACAACAAATACACAAATAACAACAATCTATAAACATAATTTCAAGTATTTCATAGATAGTTATTAAGAAATCCTCAACATCCTCACTTCACCCCCATAAAAGTCTGTTGGTACAGGCCAGCCTTTATAATCATACAAACAATACAAAATAAAATAACAATTATAATATAGAAAGACCAGAGCAGGCAATTTGCGGAGTTTACCTTTGTGTTTTTTGGAATTCATAACTTTGTGACTTTCTTTAAGTACTACTTTAACTACTTCATTTTTTAAATCTTTTATACATGCTAAAATTGGTTTAAAATACATGAAATACCGCAAAACTAAATGATTTTTTTCAGAATTCCATTGATTCGAATGGGAAACGTCAGAATGACTGCTCTGGGAGTTCTTGTAGTTTTAAAATTCTGAAAGGCTCAACATCAACAACATAATATCTGTTCTTTAAAAGTTGACTCTATTAAAGCCATGTTTTGTTTCAGGTTTTGTGCTTCTACTGTAACGTTTTCCACCTCCCTGTATTTGATGTTTTGCTAAATAGTTTAGCTCCCTGCGCCTTATTTGTCATTCTGACATTTTATCTCATTCTTTTGTACAGAGTTGCTGTTTATGAATCACCTGCTGCCAGTTCCAATAAATTACTTGAATATTTGATAAGGGCTGAGTTATTTATATCCCCACACACGCGTCTTCATGAAGCGGTTTGGCCGAGTTCCTCCTTTTGATGTGGAAACAGAACAACATATAACAATAATAATATCAATAATAATAATGTTTTATATGTGTTTTCTTGGACACGCAAAGACACTTCTCATGTCATTATTCATTCACTCCAAACACAGTGGTTTATAAACTCCTACTGTAGCCACAGCTGCCCACGGGCACACTGACAGAAACAAGGCAACCAGTCTATGCCATCGACCCGTCTGACCACCACCAACCATTCACACACACACCAGACTATTCTAGGCAATGTGGGTGAAGTGTCTTGCCTAAGGACACAAAGACAGTTTGGCACTTTACAGCCGCTGCACTGTTGCACCTGGTGTTCACACAGGTTTCCCATCACAGTACTAACCAGACCCTGACCTGCTTAGCTTCAGAGATCTATACATCATGATCAAGATAACCCTAATTTAGTCTCCACTTGTCCAGTAGATATTGATATTTATCTGAAAACGTTTTTCTGTAGCACATTCCTTTACCTATCACAATATGTTGGCTTTATAATTGTCAAGTGTTTTGGGTGACCTTGGTCTGTAAAATGCGCTATATAAATAAAAATGACTTACTACATATATTCTGAATTCAGTTATTTTTCTTCACTGCAAAAAAAGTGATTAAGAAAAAAAAAGCTCAATATTGGCAAAAAATGTTTATCTTAAATTGAACAGATTTTGCCTGCCTTAAAACAAGATTTGTTTTAATAAAATGTAATAAATCTCTTCCTTGGAATTAAAAAAAAAAAGCAACAGTTCTTGAAATGAAACTAAATAATTTGACTGTAAAGACTGTCAGAATGTACAAAAATGAAGATAAAAAACACTTTATTTGAACAATTATGGCCTCATATGTTATCATTGTCTGCCGTGTTGGTGTTGTATGGTGTTATTGGCAGGTTCCAGCTCCAACCTCAGCCTTAGCTCCATGTCCAACGACCACTTCGATAATAATATACCATAACATTAAAGTTGTGTGAAACAGGTCCATAGCCCGCTCTAAAGGCCTCTTTTTCCGCTCCACTCACATTGTAACCTGATTTTGACAGGCTTAGCAATTATCGCCTTCATAACATCCCACCGGGGACACTTCCTTTCCATATTCATACTACTCCATTAAACAGTGTGAAAAGCACTGCTCACCCATGCCAGGTGTACGCGCTTGTTATTGGCGCAACCTTTCGAGCAAAAAAATAAAAAAAAAAACAAGTCCATTCACAACATCGTGCACATCGAAACGGCGACGGAAAGAGAATACAAGAGGCTCTCGCATTGATTGAGCAATAAATGATACAGTAAAACACAGGTCTCAATCATGGACATGTGTTTTTTTTTACTGCAAATGGCAAATAAACTGAATCTGATGTGTTTGAGAGGAATCAGCCGATATGAGTTTCTGCTCGATTTCTAACCGCTCACGAAAAGGAGTCATTAGAGCCTGTTACGGAGGTGACACAATGATTAATCTTTTATTGCCTAATCCTCAAATGAAATTGATCTGTTCTTGTCCGCGCTCACACGGCCTCGAAGTTTAAGGGGATGTGGAGTGGGCGGGGCTTAGGTTTAGTAGTTATTGAAAAGTACAAAATCCAATGTTGATGTTTTAGAACACATTGGATGCTAGCTAGAGCCTGAGTGCTATCCACAAAGCGGCGGTTTCAGATAGAAGAAACACAACATTCTGAAATTTTACATTTTGATGAGATTTGCGGTTATTTTATGATTTGTTTACAAATACAACTCGAAACTAGTACTAGTGGGGGTGTGACCCGGTTCCTAAAGGTCCATGAGAACGTGCACTGACATGCTACAATCTCACCCCGGGCCGGTGGGGGTGTAACCGGAAAGAGAATTATCCAATGCTTTTGAATGGCGTCTTCTTTCCTCTTGAAAATGGCTTTACAGGATGGTCCAAAAGTCGGCTCTTGGCCCAACACTACATTCCAGATGTGTGTCGATGCTGAGGGGAGTGTTTTTCTTTGG